CTTTACCAACATGATGAGTCCAGCACAATATTCTGCAGCCACAATAATTCACACACATCAGTTTTGAAATCGTGTTCATTTCAGACAGCATCGCCCCGCAGTTAGCAAAAGCTGCAAAAAGCAAACTACATCCGATGTTTCACAGGTTCATGTGTGGAAAGTCTGAGATTTACTTCTAGCTGAAGAAAGTTGTACTGCTGTAAAAACTGGTGCAGCCTCTTTATAACATAGGAACAAAAATGTAAACGGTTTTCACGATCATTCAAAATCATAATGACAGTTAAAACGTGCTTAATCTTCCAGCTCTGACATGTGTGGGGATATAAAACAAACATAATCCTTCAGTGTAATATAAAACAGCACACTGGGATTCTGACACAGTCATTTATGCCCTGTACACACCGTCTGTACAAATACTGCATGTGCACTTGTACAAATACTGCATGTGCACTTGTACAAATACTGCATGTGTACTTCAAAGGTATTTGAGGTTAACGTTGCACAATACTGCACATGATGCCATTACTAGATAACTGCAGAGTGGGGGTCATGTTAGCAGTGCTAGTAGCACCAGTCTTCTCTTATTCCAGGTTATTGTGGAAATGCACTCTTTAGTTAAGCCATAATAATCTGACCTCCCCAAATTCACCAGTTTCTTTCTAGGTTAAAATAGTGCCAAACTGCTCTAATTTCACAATTCTGGTTTACAACAGCTCAGTAAAATCTCAGTCCCAAAGATTAAGCAAAGTCTACATTAAATTGTGAAGAATTTGTTTAACCTTTTAGTTTCTGGTGTCCACTAACCAGAGTGGTAAACTTTAAACTAGTTTTCTAATCAACTACATCCCTAGATAAGAAAAGTTTGCTAGTCAATACTGATGTCCGTGTCTCTGCTGTATCTGCAGGTAAACACGACAAAGTTTCTCAGTATCTTTAACCTAGCAGGAGTCTGCATGTAGCTGAGCGGACAAAAAGCAAAGGAAAGTGGATATTTAGAATTATATTTATTTTATTATATAAAGACCCTTAAGTGTGGACAACAGAGTTCCAGGTGGTGTTTTTGTGCCATATTAGTAATGAAACAAAACCACCACTCATGCTAAATAACATTCATGCTGACAGCTGTATCGGTAAACTTTAAACTGCTGACCACTCAGTGTTGAGCGACTTTGGACCCATTACTCCAAAAGATCCCAAACTCAAAAACTTAAAACTGGACAAACAAGCAACTCTGAAGGTACCTTGTCTCCCTTCTTGTATTCTGGAGGTGAAGGCAGTGAGATGGGGCTAAGGTCAGCTGGCGCTGTATCGTCATTGGGCAGATCAGGGCAGAGCGTTTTGTTGGGCACCTGGATCTGTGACTGCAGATCTTTCAGGATTTCATCCACCCTGTCCTTGGGGATCGGCTTTCCATGCCAGTTCTCCAAATCCTCAATACCTACAGTTAAGTGGCAAATAAGTCATGTTTAATATTCAGAGAACAGTTCTAACTAGATGCAGTAAATAAGCACAAAAACAGTTGTTCACACCAACCTTTGAGGCCTCTGCCCTTGAATGTCTTGGCAACAATGCAGGTCGGTTTGCCTTTGACCTGCTGAGCCTGCCAGAAAGCTTTGCACAGCTCCTCCACATCATGTCCATCCACAACATACGTGTTCCACCTGCACACATAGAACGTTATTAACATCTGAACATGTCTGTAGACCATCAAAGAGCAGATACAGGGAAAGAAAAATATAAGGTCAAGTTCGGACAGTTTGTTTCTGCAGGTTATGAGACGAGATAAATGACGTGCTGACCCAAAGGCTTCACA